GTGATCTAAAAATTCTCTAATATTAGTCAGTAATATCACAAACATTTAGATTTTCATCTTTTATTTCCTTCAAAGTATTTCTACAATTCGAGTCCTTGTTCATTTTGATTTATTTTCAGTTTGGTGTTGGCATTTCACAGATATTTCAATTTAACAGATATATTCTGCTTCTGGTGTTGTTTTGATGACTAACTTCGATTTCGATTCTTAACTTCAAATTCTTTGTCCCCTTGAAAAGACTTGACACATCCTGAAACACAGAGAACAATATGTCATTGCAATCAGTTACTAACAACCTCACAGGTGAAAATAACTATTAGTTAAACAAAATATGAAACAAATCATGCATCCATGCTTCCACAAAACATGCGTGTATAGTTACTGAAATTTGATCCCGAGGTAGTAATGTAGTCTAATAATGATCTGATTTGGGAAGTATAACAAATCATAAATACTGATATGCAACCTAAAGCCAGGGACACACGTAACGACTAACTGAATCATTCTAAGACTGAACTGAAAACACTTATGATTTTAAAAGCTGACTATAAACACCAACTGAACGCAAATGGCTCTGACACATTTGGGTGTGATCAGTTTTAAGTATCAAATTACATTCATAATCAGCCTTACAGTTCTGTAGTGTGTTCCTGGCTTAGCTAATTAACTAATTAACTTAACTAATCTCAGCTGGCAAGATGGCTGGTTCACATGTACCTGGCTAACACATGTACCTGCCTAATTTGCTAACATGGGGCCAGGCCACAGTGCATATTGGTATTATAATATCATATTAGCATATGTGAATAGCAATTAAAGAAACCACTCACCATTTCTCCAGTGTAACAATTCCACAGTCAACAGTCCCTAACACAAATGTACATCACAATAGTGATGTTTGTCTTCTTCTTCGTTGGAGTTTTACGGCAGTTGGCATCCATAGTGTTGCATTACTGCCATCTGCGGTCTCACTTTAACTTACTATATCTTAATTAAATTTGTCCTTCCAGTCCAGTCCTCCTTAGAAAATTAAACAAATATCTCCGTCCTTGGTCACTATTTCCATATGTTACTATATTTTTAACATTAAACTCTACTATACCTATTTCCCGTAGCTGATTCTTGAATAGTGATGTTTGATTATTCTTCTTCTGTTTTATGGTGGATAGCACCAGCATTAAGGTGCATTATCGCCACCTTCAGTGTTGGAGTGTGGACCAAAAGTTTACTCATTTCATAAAAGAAACCCTTCATTCTCTTTATCA